ATTTTAATTATTACAATTTTAATCTACTTTAGTTTTAGTATAATAAATATTTATTTTGCTATAGTAATCATAAACTACAGTTATAAATAAAGTTATAGCCAGAAATAAGAGCTACAAATTGGTATAAAATAGTTATCATTAATAATAATTATTTAGAGAGTTATATAACATTTATGATCAAATTTAATAAACGTAAAAATAAAAATACTTTAGTTATCACTATGTAAACTTCTAATTCTTACTAAATATCATAAATTGTAAAGTTGTAGCTTATATTTAGAGCTACAAATCAGTATATGATACTATATGCCAATTTTTAATCAAACTCAAACCAGACTCGAACTCGTAAAACAGTTTAGTTCAAGTTCAGTTCAAACTTCGAATCTTTCTTGAACTCAAGCCAAAGTCTGGTTCGAGTTCAGTTTGAATTTCGAACTGAACTCGAACCTGAACAAAAGTCTGGTCCAGTTCAGTTCATAGGAACACTAGTCACTACTTACTATATAATAAAGATTTTTATCCATAAAGACTAATAGTAACAATATCTAGATTTTTCTTTGTTATTATAATATAATATATTTATTAATTATAATCTAGATAATTATTAATTTTACCTCATGTTTTATTTATTATTAATATTAATTATAAATACATTAGATTATTAATAATTGCTATAATATTCTATTAATAATATAATTTCTTATATATATATACTGTTATACTTTTAGTAATAATATAATAAAAAAGTATTTAATAAATTATAAATTATTTTTATATTATTATTCTAAAAATCCTGAATTATAATAATATAAAATTAGTATTTAGATTTCTCTGAAAATAAATTAACTTATTGAAGTCTGAAGTTAAAAAATATTCTCATATATAAATTTTTAATGAATATTTTATAGAACAAAATATTTTTCTTCTACCAGAAAATATTTATATTTTTTTCTTTATTGATTTAGATGAAAGATATTTTCATTTGAAAAAATTACTTGATTCCAGTCAAAGTTTTTATACTTGTTTGTCTATTGTAGTTATTTTTTTATATGTTTATCAGTAAGTATAAGTTTAAAAAGTTAATTTATATATTTAGTTTCAGATTTATGCAGATATTGCTGAATAATATTCACACTAATATTAATATTATAACCTTTCATTTCATGTTGTATTTTAGAGAAAGTTATATTTTTTTTCTTTTTTTGCAAGCTCTTTTATTTTTTTATTTTGTTTTAGAGCTATAATTCACTTCCAATCTAATTTTGATTTATTATTTAGATCTTTTGTTTTATTTTATTTTTTGAGTATGTTAACTAATGTACCTTTAGTATAATTAATGTATTTTATAGTAATTGCAAGTCTGAACTTTGAATCTTTAAAATAGGTATACAAAAAAATAATTTTATAATGCTTATATAAGAAAAAATATATTTTTTCAACATAAAAGTTTGATGATTATTTATGATATTAGTAGATTATCAATTAATTATAAATGACATCAATGATTAGTATTTGTAATATTTTTTGTGCTCAGAAAATTTCAAAGCATTTTCAAAAAGTTATTAAAGTTTAGTTACTTATAACAGAAACTATAATTATCTAAATTTTGTCAAAATTATAATAAATTATTAATAAATAAGATGTCAAATTTTAAAATTTGTTGAAACTGAAATTCTGCTCACAATTAATATGTAACTCATTAAAATTTTGCTAAAATATTTTTAAAGGAATTTTGGTAAGTACTCTTAAAAAAATTAAAAATTTAACTTATATTATATATTAACAAACTCAGATTAATAATGATTTTTATATTGCCACCACTTTAAAAATTTTAATAAAAAAGATGAAAATGAAAATAAAGAAGAGGAATTAGAAAAGAAAAAATTTGTGAATTTATGCAATTAAGATTTAATTAGCAAAAATGAATTTAACTTTAAATTTTGATATAATTTTAAATTTTGATATAACTTTGAATTTCAGCATGACTTTGAATTTTGATATAACTTTGAATTTTATTATAATTTTGAATAACTTTGAATTTTGGTATTTTGATAATTAAATTTTATTTGCTAAAATAATTTTGGCTTGATAAATTGTTAAAATTCCTGAATTTGACAAATATTCTTAGATATAATACAATATACATTTCTACAATATAATACAATATACATTTCTACAATATATTACCAGAAATTTCAAAAATGAATTTGTTACTTTGAAATTTGATATTTTGACATCCAGTAATTCTATTCAAGCAAAGATATTATTAAATTTGCATATCAAGACAAATTTAATGATAATATTTTTGTTTAAATGGAATTACCAAATATTGAGATATTGGATTCCAAAATAACAAATTCATTTTTGAAGTTTCTGATAATATATTGTAGGGATGAGTATGATATAATTGGTTACATTATTCGAAGTTACTTATAAAATTTAGTCCAGTGGCGCAGTATGGAACTATGTTCACTGAAGTTACTTTATACTGTCATTCATTATATTATCGAGTTATAAAAAAATACTAGCATTCAACACATTATATGAGGCAAAAACAAAACCTTAAAACTATTAACCTAATACTTGTAATTATGAATTTTATTTACTTTCACTAGTTTCTTTTTTTAATTCATCATAACGAATATTTACTTTATATAATAACTTAAATAAATACTTTATTGAATCCTCGTATCACAAACGCAAACCAAGGGTCTAGGTGACATAAATATTGAAAATGTGTAAATAAACTAATAAATCTTCTTCACGTGCACATAAGCTAATGAAGTATTACATCACACATACAATTCTTATACATTCTTCAAATAGCCGTTAGCCGCCAGCCATTCCTCGACATCTTTAGCATCACGCTTTAACCACGCGGTATTCTTACGAATATTCTCCAAGCTCTGTTCCAGCGATCGTGCGTAAGCCTTGGTGTCTTTATTGGCAAAGAATTTCTCTACGTCATTTGCTGCTTCATCTGATGAGAGCGATTCTATCGCACATTTAATAATGTGTCCGAACAGACTAAGTGATTTTGCATATCGACCTTCGAACTATTTTGATTTAAAACATAACGAAAGCCGATGTAAACTTAAAAAAAAATTGCAACATCTCAAGAAGATAAAATTCTAGCTTTTTACCAAATCCCAATTCTGTTTGATAAAGTCCCACAATGGCTTTCTTGCTTTACGATTAATTTGCAAGCTTTAATTTTTATTGGAAAAAAAATTCGCCAATTAGTCCAAATAAACAAAAAAGAAAATGCCGAAATGAAAGGATAATTTACCCCGAGAGAGAATAAATAACATCTTGATGACGGACTTCCGGAGAGATGGAAAATTCCAATGCACGTTGAATCAATTCAGGTTGTTGCACAGATCCAAGAGCAACTAACACGCAAATTTGTTGATCGGCTGTTGGACTATTTCTGAAAATGTTCAATATCGCTTCGAATTCTTTTTCACCGCCACCATGTCTTAACACAATCTCAAATACTGCGCCTCGTATATTAGGATGTAAAACCGATTGATCATTTTTCTCGGTGAAAAGTTCAAAGCGGCGCTTAGCTTCCTTAACAATTCTATATTATAATTGCATCGATTATTTCCTCCTATTCAAGATTAGCATAACAGACAACAAACACGTTTGCTTACTCTGGATCTCCAGCCTTGCCAGCGACTTTAATAATAAAAGATCTTAACATTGTAGTCAGATAATCCTCATTTTCAGGATATTCCCAACCTAATCGGTGTGCCAATTTCGAAGATAAATTTCGTTGGAATGACAAGAGTCCTTGGTAAATAGGCTCAGGTTGTTCAAACCATACGGAGACAATATCCGCAATACGAGTATTCATTTCGACCCACACACTAAGAAATAATAAGATATTATTAAATAGATAAGAATAGTGTATGATATCACGAAAATTTACATACATATATTGATCCTCATTGCCGAATTCATTCACCAAATTCAAGAATCCACTAGTCTTTCCATATCCACTCACTGCTAATGCACCTGCATCGGCAACTATACCCACACGATCACTTATATTCGTTAACTCGCCATTCTTGACGGATTTTCCCAATTTTTTTAATCGTTCGGGTATGTAATTGACTCGAAATATTCCAACTTCATGTGTGTCTAACTTGAAGAAATCACTCTCGACTTGTGGAAATGTAATCTCAGCTTCCTTTGTTGTAAGTACTTGGGATTTGATATTTGCAGGTGTAGATTTCCCTAGAGTAATTCCAAGAGGTACCCACCAAATAGTAGTGTCATCTTCTGGGGCAACATCGCCGGTAGAAAGAAATCGGGTTTGTTTGATGTGTATAGTATTCGGTTGAGGTTCAGTAACATTGAGCACTGGATACTATAAGGAATTGAATTAAAGTAAAACACACATATACATTTTTATGTAAACACACAAGCTAAATATAAAGTGATTGTACCCCAATTTTTCTGGTCCATCCAGTCATAAAGTTACCAACATCGTATCCACTTTCTTTCGATAAACTCTCCCATAAATCATCTGTACTCGCATTTCCATACAAGTGGGCATTCAAATATCTTCGAACACCAGCCAAGAGAACATCTACACCAAGGTAAGAACTTAACATTCGAATAACAGAGGCACCCTTATAATAACTTATAGAATCGAAAATTTGATAAATTTCACTGTTGACACAAGAAAAATTTATTTAGTGATATTAATTTTGAATTATTATGATTTAAGGAATTATCAGAATCGAAAGGTTACCCGGGATCATTTACAGGGACTTCGATAGGATGAGATGAACGAAGGGAATCAAGTTTGAGACCGAGTTGGAGACCCTCAACCACGAATCTAATTAGTTGAGTAAAGTCAATCAATCGGCCCGATATCCTCTCGATATTTTATTCTTTAACATGAGATTTTCTTACTGTGTCCAAATATCCCAATCTGGGAAAATTTCATCAATTGCCAAATAACCAACCCAAGTAGCAAACCCCTCATTAAGCCAGAGATGATCCCACCTAATATAAATAGATAGTCAATTACTTTATTTATAATAAATAGGATCATAAATTCGAATCTAAAAGTTAATCAATATTACCATTCCATAGTGACGAGATTTCCAAACCATTGATGAGCTAATTCGTGGGCCACAGTATAGGCTACACGTTGCTTAAATCGTGCGTCAGATGCTTTTGGGTCAAAAAGAATTGCAGCTGTACGATACGTGACAAGACCCCAATTCTCCATAGCACCTGATCAAGATGGAAAATTCAACATGTTATGGATGTTTTTTGGAAAACGGGTTAAGTATCAAAAATATATACCTGCTTCGAAATCAGGAATTGCTACCATGTCTAATTTCGGCAAGGGATATTGAATTTCAAAGACTAAATAAAAATCAAAGATTAGATTAAATCTTCATTTTCGATTGAACGTGCAAAAATATACTCTATATATACTTCGAGAAAAATGGTCAAGTGCTTTAGTCGCAACATCCAACGCGAATGCTCCTTGAGTTTCTGACCCTTTAATTGCGTAAACTCGGATAAGAACTGGTTTTTCATTAAATTCACCAGTTGTATACCTCTCAATATAAGCCAAATCTCCAGTGAGGAATGCCACAAGCTGTTGTTATATTTATAAAGAGATCATGAATTTCGTGCAAAGAATTGAGAATCAAATGTAAACATACATAAGTACTCATGATCGGCGTCTGTGAGAATTTCACTTCTTTTTTGTTATTTTCAACTGGTTTTTCAGAAATCACATTCATATTACTCAAAGCCACAAGATCCGACGGGACAATCAAAGTAATATTAAAAGTAGCTTTGATTGCTGGTTCATCCCAACAGGGAAAAGCACGACGGGCATCAGTAGCTTCGAATTGGGTGGTAGCTAAATATCTGTCTCGGATGAAGCAAGAGAATTACTTGATGCAGAAAATAATCTCTCGTAAAATCAATAATCAAGAGTAAAATTACACACTTTTGATTCCCTGAAGCATCGGTGTAAGAACTACGATAAAAACCATTCATCTTATCATTTATAATTCCTGTAAAGTCGATGTGCAAAACAGCTAATGTGCCGGCTTGCACTTCGCTCGGAAAAGTAAAAGTCACAGTTTGCTTTTTATCGTCATAAGATATATCTGATGAATCGATACTACAAAATTTGGAAAATCGAGCTTGAACAAGAAGAAATTATAAAGTAATTTATGTGGATAGCTTGATACCTATTAAGCTTAGCGGTTTGGACTTCAATTTGATTTGCATTTAACGTGATTGTTTTTGTATTTTCATTGATATTTAGTCTAGATGTATTTTAACAATCATTAGATCAGCAGAATACACCAATTCTCACAAAGTCCACATGACTCACGTTATAGATTCACTTCCCTTAAAGGTAAAGTCTTCCAAATCAGGAGTCAAGGTCAAGTCATAATGAAACGGTCTCACATTAGTAGGCAACGTTTGACGCCCAACCATTCTGAAAAAGGTATTATAGTTCCCAAGAAAATAGGCAACTATAAAAATAAAGACTGGTAGAAGATAAAAGTAAAGAGAACGAAAACTTTTTTCACTAGGGGTCTTTATGGGAGGGCTGTTCTTTGAGTTCTTATTAGAAGCCAGTGTGAAGAATGCAATTAAAGATGTATTCAAATTAGGTAATAAGTCGATCTGCTTTTGATGGATATACAAACCTCCCTAAAATGCGCCTGCTATAAGTGCACAGCATGGCTGGGTCCCAGCTCATAAGAGCTCTATAAATGCACGCCCCCTCTAAACGCCCGCTTTACTATGGTCCCAGGGGTGCATTTGGAGAGGTTTGTAGAACCTTCCCGAAGTTTTCCCATTTATTTAAAATACATTATCGTATGCCTCAAGTGAGGAGTCCAACCAGCTTATTTTGTTGTTACATGAAGTAAATTAAATTTAACGTTAACTATTGTTTGACAAGTAAATCAAAAACCAAAAGTTTATCGATTCATTTTTTTGGTCGACCCTTTTTAGCACCAGACGACTTTGTCTCAGCTGTTTTGGTTTTCTTTGATTTTGTAGCTTCCTTTTTGTCATCTTCAGCCTATGATTAAAATTATCTAATTATTCAAGAGGCGTGCAACATCCAAAAACATTCCTAATAGAAAATAAAAATACTTTGCGCTTAGATGGTATATTTGAGGTGGATATTGTCGTGAAAAAACCATCTAGTCTGCCCTGGACTGCCACTTTGAAATGTTTGACGAGTTTATCTGTGCCTTTACGGACGCGTTCCTCACTAATTTATCCAGAATTAGATTAATTAATAGTTGCACAAATATTTATAATTGGATTATTGATGACTCACTTGAACCCTTTATCGTGAACCAAATAATTTACTATGGCTTCAACATTAGGTGATTCCCACTTTAACTGGACCACCACAATAAAATGTAATTCAGATAATTTCTCTCTGTGTGTATATCTGTTGTAAGTGGGAATGGGATATCGGTGAATTTGGAATCCACTTAGTGTGTATTTAAAATCCACTTGGTGTGTATTTAGAATCTTTTGGCCCATAATCTTATCACCGGCACTAACCCTTAACTCTAGTCGCATCCTTATCCTAATCGGGCCAATTCCATATCCATATAGATATCATATCCCATTCCTACTTGCAACATGAGATAAATAAAAACTCATTATGCGTTGTTTTCCTATACCTCAATTTCTTTTGGGTTTTCCACTTCTGGGTTAAGAAATAGTTGACGTGCATCTTTATATGGCCAATTCTCAGGGATAGGATATTTCTTGGTATCAATGTTCTTGATAATTTCTTCTAGAGACCTATATTTCTTTATGAGTTCCAATGCGCGATGCGGTCCGATGCCTTTGATAGATTCACAGTAGTCGCAACCCAAAAGGATGCACAGATCTATAAACTAAAAAAAAAAAGTAATTGTTTAGCACGAATTATTTATCAAAGATGTTTTAATTTAATCGATGTACCTCTTCCATTGTTAATCCAAGTTCCTCTCGTACTTTACTCAAATGCATTTCATTAATTGGCAATTTTTTAGCTTCGCTGAATGTTAAATGACGTAAAAGTATCGGTGCTCCAAATGTCAACGTATCCATATCCTCGGAAGCAGCAGCAAACACCTATCATATTTATATGTCAATAAATAGCAAATGCAAATATATAAATATTCTAGAAATTTCTTTACCTTTCCTTCGCGCGCAAGCGCAGCACACTGTGCTTCGGCTTCACACGGCGCCTAATTATAAATATTAATCATATCTTAAAAATCATCAAAATACATATCCATTTTTTATACCTCAACGACTGGAATGCCCATCAGTTGCAAAAGCTTTTTACATTCTGAATTATGTTGGGGAGTGACTTTAACCATACGGCGAGTGAATTTATCAATATCAACAGAATTGCCTGTTCATATAAAAGCCGTTTAAGTAAGTGTTACATCAGATGTCATTTAAACTCGAATTTTAGATTCCCACCAGCTTCTTGCGCTTCCTCTAGATTCTTATTTGCTTCTTTTCTTCTCTCTAATCGCTTAGCAAGCTATAATTGATATGAGAAGATGAATATACGGGTTTCAATGGATATAATGAAAATTTAAGTTAGAAGTACCTCGCCTGATTTTAAAGTCGGAGGCTTGCCATCGAACACGTAACAAGGCTTAATTCCATTTTCTACCATTCTTATTGTTCGATAAAACATACCCATCAAATGACTAACGACCGAAATAATACGCATCAAATGTATGAAGAATTATTAGATAACCCACTATCAGAGCTCAATGCACGAATTAACCAAAAACAATACCTAGTCGTTTCACCAGCCTCATTCATTAATTGTTGACCTTCCGACCTGACAGCTATCAGAAATTGGTATAACGACATTGAGGCATCAATGGCGACCTTACGCCCAAAATAAGTTTTAATGTCATTTGCCTTTATGGCATGTGGTGCGTTGTCACCAATTAGCTTGTGCAAACCATGAATACCCATTTTAATAGTAAGTTATCTTAAATTAAATTATTCAAAGTAAAAGACGCGTTCTTGAAACCAGGTTAAACTGCTGCCCCATTTATGCGTCACGAAATCACGTGCTTCACCTCAATTCAAAATGAATATTTTAATTTTAATGAAAATGTGAGAATTATGACCGATCCGCTTTCAAATGAAATTGAAAAGTGTCTCGAGCTTCTCGGCCCTTCTACCTCTGACGAGGAAAAGTTTGTGGCCCTCATGTTATTACCACGCCTCCTCCAGCAGGACCCGAATAACGTCAAAGTAGTTTTCGAAGCCATGGATTTCAAGTTCCTGGAAAGACTCTTGAGAACGAGTACGCATTTTTTTTGAAATTACGCATTATGTTCTAATTTTTTCAATACTCGAATTGAATAAGTATTCTTAAATCTCATTTATGCAAGAAAGCTCAACCACCTCAGAAGTATCCGAAACAACCTTAAAAGCGATAGCTGTTCAGATAATATACTGTTTTTGTGGTTTGGATGAACTGTTATCAAAAAAGCAATTGTTTACACGAATTCCTTCTCTAGCAAATTCGATAACACCGAAGTAGGTAAAGGACATATTTTATTTAGCCGTAATAATATTCTTGATCTAATAGTCAATTGGATCTAGAATATATTCAAAGTTGATACATCGATTTAAAATCATATAGTGATAATAATGAAATGACCAAAGATATCTTGAAGATCTTTATGAGACTATCGTCAGTGCAAGATGCATTGATTCGAATGACAGAAACAAAAACACTTTCCAAAATACTTTTATGCGTAACTTCTAGCCAGGATGGTATGTATGCTGCTGATTTTATTACGATTTATTAAGGAAATAATCAATATATGGTTGATTTGCTTTAATTTACCAGAGGAGGTGAAAAACTTGGGGTTACTAGTTATTCGCCATATTGCACACGGTATCTTGACTATATTAGCCAAAGAAGAAAAATTCCAAAATACGATTTCGCTGGAAGATACTTTGTCTCCGATCCTTTTTGGACTGTCTTCTTCATTTCGTATTAATCAAATTCAACTGAAATTTGATATTCTTGAAACCCTTACTGAGATTTTTTCCAATTTTCCTGAACAGGTGAGACTATTTTTCCGCATAATTTACTCTAAACATGAAATATTAAGTTTTCATCTATATAGGGAAACATTAATTTTAAACCACAACAATCGACTATTTGGCTACAGAATATGAGGTTTGGCTTGCGTGAAATCTTAAGCAGTAGAATTGGTAAAAATTAAAATCTTGGTCTATTTTTTTTTTATTTTTACATGGATCCGAGTGAATCAAATTAATTACATTTTCATTGTATTAGGCCCACAACAACGTGACATGGCACTCTCGCTTATTCACCATTTGTTATTTCATTTTGGTGCTGAATGGTTATTTGCATCACCCGGAAAACCAGAAAGTAAAGACACGAAATTCGGCGCTTTGGTTGTCCAACTTGCTTGTGTGGAGATTCGCCTGATTTTAGATGAACTAGCGGAACAACAATCAAAAAATAACATAGATATAAACTCGCGACATGAGCAAACGCTACCAGCCTGTTATTTTATTTTGGAGAAAACTATCGAATATCTATCACAAATATCTGAAGGTGACGATGAAGAGAGTGCGATGGCAACATTTGCCAGTAATTTTGATCCTGATCTGTTGTTGCGTCTGCGGAGTACTATGACAGAAACATTCCGTATAATTCTCGAGTATCTAATAGATGTTAAGGTGAGAAATTGATATCTTATTATATTCGTTATTTTTTCAGGCTTCTTACTATACAATATGCTAATTAGAATGGCCTGGTCTCTATCGAACAAGCTGCACATGATTCAACAATTCTTGCTAGCATTCGAGTACTATCAGCTTGGCTGTCCGAAGAAGATTCACTAGAAAAAGAAGTTAGCTCAATAATGCCTCTATTTATTGATTTAGCTCGTTATAGGTAAATTATAGTGTCTATCTCAATTTGCTTGTGTGGATTAGTAACTTATAATCGTCAAATTTTACAATACAGATTAAAAAATAATATGGATTCAAGTCTATTAAATATTCTCACGCCTGCTTTCTTGAATCTCACATCACAAGATGCCCCACGTGAAGCATTTATCGATCACAATGGACAGGATATTCTGTTCACTCATATAACCAAAACTTGGCCAAATTTTCTGATCAATGACTTTGAGACGAATTATAACAATCTTCTTGGTCCATTGCAAATTTTACTGAATCTTCTTGTCGCCGAAAGAGAAAATTTTATCGCGCCGAATGAAAATGAAATCTGGGAAATCGTCAAAATTGGGGAACAAATTGTTCAAGTTTTTGGTGAGTTGTGTGTGGTTTTTATTAGTGAAATAAATATTTTATATTAAATCCATTAATAAAAATATTATCGTGCATACTAGGTTCGAAATTAAAATCAGAAGGTTATCCACCATCTATGGCAAATCAAATGATTCTTATAGCGAATACATTGTTATTTTGCCTTTTAGTGATCTCGTCAACTGAACAATTTGATTTAACGGAGAAAGCAACGGCAGAGAATATAACTCGACTTGCCGTTAATTTCTATCAAGACAAAAAGAAATTAATGTCCGAACCGAGCATTTTGAGACAAATTGAGGAATTAGTCTTCTTGGGTGAAAGAATTGTGAAGTGATATACTTTTTGTTTTACCAGCTTTTAATTACTGCAAAAATTATGGGCAGATTATATATAATAGTCACTCCAATGTGTTACTTCGCCAAAGTTATTTCTCATTTTTATCGAATTTTGAATAAATTTGAATTGCATAGAATAGAATTCCAAAGAATAAATACAGTAATATTATAATGTATCCGCACAGATTAAAAAGAATTTATCTCCCTCCCCCCAATTTTCTAATAAGTTCTGCTATGATATTGTGAATTATTATTATTATTATTATTATTATTATTATTGTTGTTGTTGTTGTTGTTGCCAGGCCAGATGGGTGTGTCATTTTGTAAAGATGTTCTTGTGTATATAGGAGGTGATGATTGCCTATTTACAACGCCAGCGCCTGCAAAAGCTTGCTGAGGGCTGTAGGGTGGTGCCGTGGTGGGAGGTGCCGTAGTGGGAGGTGAATGGAAGGATTGTTGATTAGGAGTTAGTCCATTATATGGAGTTGGGTCTACCCAATTTGTACTGTATTGTCTCGTTGGTGATGAGGCGGGAACACTGTAAGCTCCAGAAATATTATACGCAGGGTTCACACGTTCTTGAGAGAGAACCCTTTGTCGACTTGGTTTTCCTCGTCGTTTGAAGCATCCACAGCAGCATTGAATTATACTAGAATATAAAAGAATCATTAGATGAAGCATTATTATCAAAATTTGTCGAGATAATAAATAATATTATTAATTACCTGCACAAAATCATAAGTCCTAAAACAGCAGCAACAGGAATAATTATTTTCTTGTTTTGATCTATCCAGCTACTTACCGTATTTCCTATTGAAAAATATACACGGAATACTATTAGCACTTTTTATATTATCAGGATATAAAATCTCTTTATAATGAATACAGTGGATCTCACCAAAAGAACCCGATTGACATGATCCTTTAGAACATTTTCCCCCGTATCCACATGGCGTGCCATCAACAAATGATCCACTTAATTCAAGACAAGAACGACTATCGCCCGGATTAGCACAAGTTATTGTACATCCATCAGAACTAATTTTGCAGGATTTTGTGATACCCGATCGAGAACCTCGAGCAGCGCATTGGGCATCCCGCGAAGTACATTGTCCTCCAGCACAAGCTAACCCATTACCGCCACAAGAAGATCCGTCACTGACATGAGCATCAGTTGGACACATAGCAGATGTCCCGTTGCATACTTCGGCCAGATCACAACTCGAAATTGCAGGTCTGCACACTGTACCGGCAGCTCGGATAGTACAATTCTTACAGCATAAATCATTTCGATCACTATAATATGAGGATATCAAATGAGAATTGATATTATCGAATAATAAGCAAGAATCTATACGTAGACAAGACTCACTCGCATATAGCGCCTGCTTTAAATTTACACGTACTGCCATTACAACAAGGGTCATTTGCACATTCTGTTTCCGTCCCACAATCACATTCTTCACCGTCTTCTTTTATTCCATTGCCGCACATCGCTTCGCTTAGGATTTTCTTATTTCCAGGATCTATAAATTTTAAAAATTAAAATCCATGAAAAGAATAACATATAAATTGATTGTAATTTATTAATACCTCCAAGACAGGTTCCCAGATTTGGATATGCAGAACATATATCGTTAATGGAGCATGGGCTAGTGTATAATAGGTTAAGATAATGTAAAAAAAATTCGAAGGACAACCATTTAGTTACCTAAACGAATTTGAGACGCTGTTACTGGTAGGATTCATTATGTATTGCGCGTTAGCATCGCATGTGCTGCTTGACAACGGACAACATTGGCAATCGGTGCAAGGACAATCGAATGACATGCAATCGTGAATAGCACCTAATAAAAACAAGATAAATTACTAAAATTGGGATAAAATGAAAGGAAGCAAAGCAGTTCCCTCCTTACCAAAACCATGTCCAACTTCATGAGCAACTACTTTCCATTCATCTTTTGATGCTGACGAAACTCCGGTGTTTGCGACAGAGGCTAGACCGTATTCTAAAATAGGGGCATTAATAATAAATTAATTTCTGATGTAAAAGATCAAGAAATATGTTAGCTATATTTATTTACCAGTATTTTGTTGAGTGACCTTTGTTTCGCATAATTGCCCTAGCCAAGCAACGCCTACTTTTGTGCCAGTACTACGTTTGATATCAAGGATATAAATATCGATAATCAAATAACGATTTAGTAATTGGGTACGCTTACCTGCATGTAGTAAGTAAATGCCATAATCCAGTGCCATCATCTCCTTTTGTTCCCCTCCAAGAACTAAAATCGCTTAATCGATTATTAATGCTATAGCTATCTGCACATTCTCTATTCCACAAAGAAGTTTGATCAAGTTGAGAAGGACATGTCCCATCTCGAATGTCCAGCGAAATAAGACCAAGAGTAACATTAAAGGTGCTTTCGTATACAGCCGAAGCAGTATTCCAATCACTGAGTATTTGCTTGCGAGCTGCATCTTGTGATCCATATTTCTTAACTGAAAAAAATTTGATCAATTATTTCATTCTTAATCTCATTAATGAATCCAATTGACTTACCATATGTACAATCAGCCGCAGCACCCTAGGAAACGAATAACAAAATAAGATATTTTAACGGTTATTTAATTCGATGAAATATTGCAAAATACAATCTACATACCATATAATTGATTTTTCGAGCTGTGGGACATCCTGCGGCTGTTTGCCTCTTTGTAAGTTTCGTAGATTCGTTTGAAGCTCGACTGAAACGAAAACCTGCAAAGTTTAAATTCCATAAAGAATCTTCTTCGTTTGTCGATATTTGCCCTTGATTATATTGAAATGCCCATTCTTTACGCATTTTGCGATAATCATTATTCAGATCAACATTGAAAGGTAAATCATCCATGGCACAACCTTGTACTTGACGATCGGTTAACGTGTTCGCTCGTTTACTTAGATTCGAATGTTTTATATCAGAGTCGCGATAAATAACCATGGTAGCAAAACGATGAGATTGATGTCGAGCTGACGGATTAGGGATCTCGGGATCTTCTGGATATTGAATCGAGTGAAAATTTTCTATTGATTTTATATGGTATAAATCATTTTCATATGAAAAAGTCCCTTCAAAGGTTGGATGGCGAGTATTGGTACTAAAAAAAAAAAAGGTAATATTATAGATGATATTATTATAACTAATAAATTATACATTTCTATGACATACCCATATTCAGATAAGCTAATGATCAATCGTAAAAAAGCAGAATAGATTAATAAATGACTTGCGAGAAAAAAAATTGCGTAAAAAAAAATAAATCTGGAGACAGAAAAAGGTATTGATTGACTTAATATACATGTGCATCCCTGATTGAGGATATACAATAAATCATTGTGACAGATTAAAATGAAATCCGGTGATCTTGTTTGAATAATAATTATAAAAAAGGGTTAAATAATTTTGGTCCTTTTTTTGGTTAAGTATGGATTCAGAGTATAGTGTATAGTATTAAATTTTGTCATTGATTATTTATATACCCTACTAGATTCCATTTTAATCTGCCACAATCATTACTTTTGGTAACCAATTCGTCAAAGATCCCATTCTTTTCGTGCAAATTTAAAATCAAATGGAATCTGGATGCCTACTTTCCGTCATCGAGGACGTGTATCCTTGCCCAGCCTAACACACCAGGTGAGTAAGCAAGTTCTTCAAACAATGAATGTCTTTTCAAACCAATTATATCCTCGACAAGTCGTTTTTCTGTAGAATCAATGCCTAACACTATCCCTTTATACAATCTATGATCTTCGGGTAATAGTCTAATGGTTGAACTAGTATTGTTTGAATGATGATATGTGATTTTAGCTTCGGCGTGATATAATTCTAGATTTGGTTCAAGATGTAAATTAAATGTTTGGTTGAATGCGACAAATTGTACGCGCATAGAATCATCGTGTCTTAACGATGGACTGTCTTTTACAGGATCTCTGTGTGCATTGTGAATTTCAAATCTATCCCTAGGTAGTCTTTCTATTATAGGATTACCGACAAACTCCAAGTAAGTCAAGGGCTTGGATGCAATACTGTGCGCTAAATGAAATAATTATGATTTGAAAAGTAAACGATTTATGAATCAATTTCGAATTTATTACAAAGACTAATAATAACAATACCTTGCACGTATATCTGTATAAATGAGATGCCTAATAACCACACTAGGAATAACTGAGGAGAATTAAACTCCTCCATGTTAAAGAAATATAATGAGTGGGCTTCTTGATTTATTAATATTAAGAAACTACTTCCATTTTTTTTAAATAGGATCACTATTGAAGTTAGATCATGATCGTATACCTTCCTTTTTAGTGAAACTATCGGCGTCTATCACCAAAACAAGATTATTTGTTAATTATGGAATTATCAATATATGTACTTAAATACAATGCACACATGTTCTAATATACGTAGTATTACTGTTTTTGTGTCACCTCGTGACAAGTGTTACCTGCATATTTCTGACAAGTTTAGCGTTAGAAACCAATAACAATAACGATAATTTCATGGAATATAGATAGCGATAAACTTTCCACGATTAAAATTTTTCGTTCCTTCTTCAATATGGCATGTTTAGTCAAGATATACTGTGACAGTCTTTTTTTAAATTGCTTTACCTAATCTTATTTTTTTTGTTATGTACATAAAGGATCCTTTAATTTCTATATCAATTTACCTGTTATTTTTCAGCTTTCTTGTTTTTGTACTCTTGATGGGTCCCTCAAATAGATTCAGGTGGGTTTTTTATTGATTGAGAAAAACATCAAAAAACACATGAAAAACGTATATTTTTATAATTTTAGACATGGACCTATAGGGAAATTACACAAATTCTTGGCTGTTACTTTGCTCGGATGGATACTGTAAGTTTAAGGCTAAAATCGAAATTTCCGAAATTTCGTTAGTTAATCTATTATTTCATATATAGGAATGCCAGTAAATGCTTCTGTGGAAATCGCTTATCAAGAAAATTAGATGGTGTATATCGATATTTTATGGAAGAGAAAAATCCAATATTACAGGTGATTTATATTTATTCCGATAATCGATCGTTACTTTATTGAATTCATTCGGAAATTTTATCCTTTATTCTATTTTTATTCTATTTAGCTTGTGTACTTGACGTTATTGACGGCTTCAATCTATATATTTAAAATAACCGGATGGGAAGAAATTCCCGGGCCTTATCTTTCTCGAGTGCATTTGTACGTATGTGTCAAGAAAGTTCATCCCTTCATAAATCGTGAATTTGTATTTCTAATAATTTTAATTAAAATAATTTTGCTAGAATTTTAGTACCGTTAGTTATCCTATTCACTTATCTCTCGCTATTTATTGCAAGTTGGAGTGATCCCGGCAGAATTACGCGGGAAAATGCGATTAAAGCCGGTAGAATGTTTGAATATGATCTCCTTTTGTTTGAACCACACAACGTTTGCAGAACTTGTTTAATTGAAAAGTAAGATGTCGGTTTTTTCTTTTAAAGGATGAGTTAATTGATTTCTGGCATTGATGAATTATAAATATTTTTTTAGACCCGCTCGCTCAAAACATTGTTCTTTATGTAAGATGTGTGTTGCAAAATCTGATCATCATTGCAAGTATTATTATACATCATTTCATAGTGTAATCATCCACGTATAAAATAATGATAATAATCATGTTTAAATTATTTATTAGGTGCGTGGATTAATAATTGTGTTGGATTAAGGAATCATCGGTTTTTCATAATGTTCCTTTATGCAACAACGCAAATTTGCTTTTATGGCACATATATAATTGTCTGGATTTTCTTTGGTATTGCTAAGGAAAAAAACCTAAGTGCCGCCTATATTTACAATAATGCAACCGGAAAAAGAGTACCAATAACTTTCTATCAAACAGTGTTGGTAAGTTGTTAGCATATGTCGAGAATTGAATGGACTTTGTTCCAACAATTATTCATCGATTTTATTATTTTTCCTGCGGCTATCTAGTATTTAATTCATCAAGAACGATTACTTGGGTCACTAGGGGTCTTTGCATTTCTTGTTGGATTAGTTGTATTTGTATTTCTATGTTATCAATTGCATCTTATTTATTGTGGCACTACAACCAACGAAGGATTTAAATGGGAGGACTTAGAAGATATAATATTGTCGGGTGAACTTTATTGTTGTGAAAAAGAATTGATTGTCCGTGACGATGATAATAATAATGGGAAAAATAAAATGGCAAAAAAAAGGAAAAGTATAATGATTTATTGGTCAGAAACAGCAGAAAAACGAAAAGACAGATTAGCTAGGAAAGAATCACCCGCAGGAAGTCAAGTGCGATCCTTGCAAGAAGTACGAAATATTTATGATGCAGGATTTATAGGAAACTTTAAACAAGTATTTTTTCCTGCCTCTTTAGAGTAATGTATTTATTATTTTCGCATATTTCAAAAATAAAGATGATACATGTTTATTACATAACTTGCATAACTGATTAAAAATCGCAGCTGACTTGTATTAGCAAGATTTGATTGGCAAATGAAAAACGCGTCTTTACCAAAATATCTTCCGACATTACAATACGCCTACAGATAAACGTAGTACACTTACCGGAATTATACGTACTGCTGAGGTCAAACAATCTCAAAGTATGGGTCCTACTTCATTGGATATGATCTTGGAGTTTGCCAGGGGACTTGGATATACTGAAGTTAATAATTTACATAAATCCTAAAAGAAATATGTAGTGAACATAATTTTAAATAGAAAATATGGTTTCAATAAGGTTTCTTCAGCACCCACTTCACAGACTGCATCTTCACTTAAATTAATGGATCTTTTGGACGAGTTGATGGCGTTACAAGACAAAATAAATGGAGTGAGTCAACGAATTATTACAACAAGAGTGTGAATAATCAAGCAATTCACCCATTATTTATATGCTATCAAAGCTTCAAAAGGATATTACAAAAATTAAAGATCTTCGAGAAACTTGTGACATTGTAAACTCATCAGAATTAGGTATGCACAGCTTAATAATCAATTATCGTTTTTCTCTGCTCGATGGCTAAAACTTTATTGTTAACTGCTAAACTCTATAAATAGAGAAAAAAATTAAAATTCTTGAAACTTTAAGCAATCATATACAGTCTATACTTTCCAACAAACAAGTGCTGGTGATGCGTTTCAAGAATCCTCATGTTGGCGAACATATAAATATCGAGCCGAAATACCACAAGTAAGAGATTAAATAGAATTTTCACGCGTTATCCTTATAATTATATCTTACGTTTATAGGGAATTGGCCGAGTTGTTCCCAACAATTATACAAAGCATCGCATCTTTACCAAAAGATATGGAGAATGCAAAATGGTTTGATGAGAATCAACAAATTATTATTGATGAGGAGAAACTAGTAAGTCATAACGTATTTCCTATTTTAACTCTATTGATCTAGTGTTCTTAATTAATAACATATTTCAAGAGCAAACAGCTTTCATCAACTGCCTCGATTATTGCAATGTATGGTAATTATGCAGATTGTCTTGATAGAATTCGAATGATTGTCAAGGAGATGCAAGAAAAGTTTAAATAAAAACTCTTATTCGATCTTTCACGTTTCTGTACATCTCCGTTTTGGTATATAATATATCCCTGCATCTATCAATTATTGACAGACAATTGTTTTTCCATATTCCCGCATAAATGAATGTAGGTTTTCACCCAATATGCGTGATTGTGAAATATATGTTACTTGATAAAGTTGTTCATATCTTAATATAAAAGAAAAGTGAAAAGCGTTCTGACTTCATTACTATTTCCGGAAGAATATATTTTTCCCGAAATTCATAGGAATACGCTGAAACTTTGAACAATGATATTCGAACTCTCAAACATTTATTTTCAAAATGAATGCTGCCGAATAAAGATGCTAAACACGGTACAGAAAAGGCCAAGACTGACGATTTGGTGGCTAATTTGCTTCATCTTGTTAAGCTGAATATTTGTGTTGTAAGTATCGTAAAAACAATCTATATCAAGTCCCTCTATAGTCACCATGCAAACTTGGGTGATTATAAAGGGATGAGACTATAGAGTGATTTTTTATTATTATTATCTAGTTCTTTGATCAATGATTTATATAGCAGAAAATCTTTTAATAAAAGATCTTTTATTTATAAGTTAAATATAATTGAAAAATTCATGAATTCAAAATAGTTTTAATAACAAATTTTTCTTTATTACTTACTATTGTTATAGTATATTTTCTAAATTAGCTTCCATTTCCTTATTTTTGAGTGAACTGCCAATTCTATTGTCAACATTCCTCCATTTTCTATAGAATAAATATGCTTGGTCATTGCGCATTTTGTTTGGTGAAGTGTCGCAGTTTCATCATTGATTTTGGAATTTTTGAAAGTCTTCTAGTAATAATTTTGATGAGTTTCTTTGCCTTTTTTATATTGATAAGTGTTATTGTTGTTATATTCTATTTCATTTTGGTGTGAAATGATGGTGATTTCCCGAATTTCATATTTCTCTTAGAGAAATGCTGCTTTGTCATTTTTTCACATTTCATGATAGCAAATTCTATTTGACTGGTTTTTAGAGCATCAGCATCGGTCATTCCTCTCGTCACTGAGAGTGAGAAAGAATTTCTTCGTGATCTTTTTTATTAATTTTTTCTTTACTTTTTATTATTTTTCATCATTATTTTCATCATTATTTTCACTATTGTTATTACCAATTGTTGTTGTTGTTGTTCAGAGAATGCTGGTTGTATCTCAGTCATCATTGTTACAATTCAGAATTATTCTTAATTCCTTAAATTTCTTAATTCTGATCATGTGACTAAACATAAATTATAGAGATAGCAGAGTTCTCAGACATATCAATATTATTCATTATATCATATTTATCTTACATGTATAACATATCCTATATTGTAATAACTTAATTATAAATTATTTTATATAAATAAAGGATCTTTTGGATAAATCAAAAGATATCAATTAATCAATACAAAATTTAGCTAGTCAATAAATCACTTCTTGTTTATTATTAATGAAATTGTATATTAATTAATTTTATAATTATTAACCTTATTATAACATTTACTCTATATATTATTGGACATTCAACCAGGTTGTTATAGGATATCAGTACTGTATTGTCATAGAATTGTCATCACACTAAATAAATACAAAGGAAGATATTTATTAATAGTAGTATTATCTATTCTAGATTAATAGAATAGAAGAAGCTGCACAGCATCATGATCCTAAGGCAACTGGATCACAACTATTAACTTATCAGAAGAAATGTTGATTAAACATTCATATCACAAGATTATCTACCTGAGCTCAAGAAACTCATGACATCATTCTTCATGTTGTTATGACTGGAAATTTACATAATTTACATAATTTACATAATTTACATAATTTACATAATTTATATAATTTACATAATTTATATAATTTATATAATTTATATAATTTTCATAATTTTCATAATTTTCATAATTTTCATAATGTTCATAATTTACATAACTTTTATAATTTTGATAATTATTGCAATTACAGTAATTATCATCATTTACAATAATTATCGTAATTACCATAACTTATATAGTATTTATTATTTATTAACTTATATAATTAATTATAAATATAACATTTATTAGTGGAAAATATTTATTATAAATAAAGCACAATTAAAGCTTTGAAAAAGACATCAATTAATCAATACAAAAATTTAGCTAGTCAATAAACTATTTCTTGTTTATTGTTAATAAAATTTGTACATTTAATTAATTGAATAATAACTTATTAAAATACTTGTATTTATTACATACTATTGGATAATCACCAAAGTTGCTATAGAATATCAGTACTGTATTACTATAGGACTATTACATACTAAGTAGATATAATATCTATTAGTAATAGTGAGAGCCTATCTATAAGATAGAAGAAAACATACTGCATGATGATTCTAAAATATACATATTATAACGAGATTGAGTAACTATAAAATTTCTGTTATCAGATGTTGGTTGAACATCTACGTCACAATAACACCTACCAGGAGCCTGATCATAATAATGTGATTATCATCCTATGAGATCTGTTGGAAGATCTCTTGTTATTTTATTAATTCACTTTGCTTTTTGTAGCTTTCTTGATTATCTGATCAGAATCTGAAAGTTCAATGATCTCATAATTGTAACTTCAACCAAATTCAGACTGAATTCTGGAATCACTTCCAGATCAATTATATATTTTTTGATCAGAGTTACTGATTTCAGATGAAGATGCTGGAACTGTCATAGACTTTTCAGAATATAGTAAAACTTTATTCTGTAGAAAAACATTTTTCCAGCTGCAAAGAGGATGATATAGGTTTATCTCTTTATTATAATAATATTTAGAATGATAACAAGGATGATTTTCTTTTACTAATAGTAGATTTGTCTTTTCTTTTTCATCTTTATCATCCTTATTATCTACAACATTTTTTTCTTTAACTTAGAATGAATTTGTTTTTTGTTATCTTTTTCTTTAACAAAGTTTTCTTCTAACTTGAAGTAAATTTATTTTTTCATCTTCATCTTGTAATTGAATAATAAATTTTTTTTCTTTTACTTCTTTATATCTACTATATTTTTGATGATCCAGATAACATCTATTTCTACATCAATAACAAAAACAATTTCTTAGATTATATTCTTTATTGGAGTGTTTCTTCTTGATTTTATCTTCATATTAAATTATTTTTAGTACTTTAACACAATTTCAACATTTATATCCTCTATGAGGTGAATCTTCTTAATATTTTGAATAACAAATATGTGAAATTCTAGAGTGTTATAATGAAAAGATTCTTTGTGAATACTTGAATTTGAAGTAATGATAGCTTTTAAGTGAAATAATTTTGAAAGTTATAATTTTTGTCACAGTAATGATGATATAAGATTTAACCAATTCTATAAGCTTAGTTTAATAACTTTGCAATCAGATAGATTAATCTTTTATAAGAATATATAGCTCTGATAATAATCTTTGATAATATAATTTTAATCTTTTATTATTAACTGGTATTTTTAAAATTTTTCTATTTAGTGTTCTTAGTTTATATGCATCATTTTCAAGTATATTATGAATATAATATGATTCTTTTCATTTATTTTTTAGTTTTCTTTTGTCTCTTAAGTAACTTTTATAAAGTAAGACTTGTTCTCTAATTTTGAATATTGTTACTATATTTTATGAGTCCTTGGGAGAGCAGGTGAGTGCTTAATAATGTTATAATAAGTTACTTGGCCAGGGTAATTATAGTAAAGTTTATTAAGAATGACGGGTGAGAGAGTATAATATAATCAAATCTATATAATGCATCAAGCATTAAACTATGATTATAAACGAATCTAAAGGAAGGTAA